CTTAACCAACTGAGCCACCCAGGTGCCCCAGTAGTAAGGAAAATTAATAATTTTTCTTCTGCCTTTGTTTGCCACATCACTAGGCACTTACCTTGTTCCACTGTTTTGCCGTAAGGCACATGGCGGGGTAGATCTTGCCCCCGGAACCAGTCTATCTGGAGGACAGCCTGGTGTGTTTACAATGCATAGGGCTTCTGGCCCCTCTGACCTAGGGGTTTCGAGGTTTCTTGACCACCCATATCCTCTGTAGCACTGGGTGCTATCGATCTTGCTAATCAGTGCCAAGTGGATGGGTTAGACGTGTGGTATCTCACAGATTTCTTTCTCACTTCCTTGATCTGTAGGGAGCCAAGGATATTTCTGAGGGTTAAGAGGTCACTTGTATTTCTTTTTCATTGAACTGCCTCTTGTTTTCCTTTTGGGAAAGCTGATTTTCTTACTGCTTTTCATAGTCTTTGGGGCTGTTTATGTTGGAGAGGACCAGAACCCCAGCTCCCTCCTTCATCAGCTGGAGGAATGCACTGGCCACACACTCCACTCCAGATCCAGGGATTTGGATTTCCGTGGGGCTCCCTCTCTGTCCTGAGCTCCTCGGTCTCTGCATCTTTCTCTGGTCCCCTGCTTTGTCCTTAGGCTGGCTGTATTCACAGAGGAAGCTGGCTCACCAGTTCCGGTGCCTGGCATCTGTTTGTCTGACCATGGGAGGAAATCAATGTGTCTGAAACCCCAGTAACCAGACCTGGAGGCCGTCCGCACTTCCTGCCAATCACTGGGGCAGGAGAAATGCCAGGTTCTCATTGGGTCAGGCTAATCAGGGCCCGCCCCACGTAGAGGCAGGTGGAAGAGAGACTGGCCAAAATGCTCATAGTTTATCATCAAAGGAGAGTGGCCCTGGGCTGGTGTGTGCGATGATATCCTTGCTGCTTTGGTTCTTTGGCCATCAGTTTGTTGGGGAGGAAGAATTTTTCTCTGCCCTTCAAAATGCTTCTGGCTGGTCTAAGAATTAAATTGACACGTGACAGATTGACAGGAGAAAATCAAATTTAATTTCCACACAATGAGAGATTGCAAAGACAAGGGAAGGGAGATGTATATGTCACCCTGAACTCAGGAGAAGGGGTAGGCACCTGGGAGAGGGGCTGAGAATGGGGCACCTGTCCCTCAGAAGAGAGGAAGAAGCACTTTGGGCAGGGAGGGGAGTGGCACGTTCTGTTTTGGAGACAGTCGGGCCAGGCCACTCTGCTGCTGCTGACATCAGAAAGAGCTAGACGCTCAGACTGCACGTGCTGTTTTGGGGGTTCGGCCCCGTCCTTGGGGCTGGGGCCAGGATCCTGGGTCCCTCATGCCCACCCAAGAGCAGACATTGTACCCAGGGAAAGTGCATGATGGGGGAGAGGGCTGATCTGGCCAGTGTCCTGGGAGGATTTTCCTCCGTGACTTCCCTTACTTTTCCTTGAGACCTGACCCATGTGCATGTACCTTTGTAGATTCTGAGAACAACAATCCTGAGGCCATGCCGGCCCCAGAGGCAGAAATGGAGCGTGGGCAGGAGCTGAGGGAGGACGGCGGCCCCAAGGTGGCATCAGACCTTGAGGGAGAGATGGAGCATGGACAGGAGCTCAGGGAGGATGGTGGCTCGCTCTTCTCCCCGGGCTCAAGTCATCTCCCGCAGGCAGATCCGGATGAGCCCCCTTCCAGCGTCTCCTTGGCCTGCCGAAGAGTGAGAAGAGTGAGTATGCCCGGTCCCCGGCAGGGCGGGTCTGTGAGGAGCGGTACCTGCCCGTGGCCCGCTGTGTCTCCGCCGGCAGGGACTGGTGGCCGGTGTGGCCGGGCCGGGTCTGGAAGCCTGAGCTGCTGCCACGTGCGTGTGCGGCGCCTCCCCTCCGGACCTCTCGGCCTTGACGGTGCCGGTGCTGAGGTGTCTCGAAGCCACAGAGACAGGGCTGGTGCTCAGGGAGTTCGCGGCTGGCCAGATGCTCCTCCCCGGAGAGTGGGGGCGTGGCCGGGGCCCAGCAGTGTGCGGCCCCCCGCGAGTGTCAGACCCCGAGCGTGTCGGGGCCCTGGGTGAGGCTGGCAGGGAGCGCCCTGGGCAGGTTCGGGGAGAATGGCGGCGGAGAAGATCCCGTGCTGCAGATCAGCCTGTCCGGACCCAGCGGGCCTGTGCTTTCCTGCTGGAGGCCGAGAGAGGGATGCTGTCCTTCTGTGTCGGGGTTGGGGCTGCTGTCCTGTCTGTGCTCAGATCCTTGTGGTGGTCACACCAGCGGGGGAAGCACTGCAGCTGGCTGTGTCCTCGTTGGTGTGGGCATGGTGTGGGGTGTGCGCGGGGGGGAGTGTGAGTGTGGGGGGTGGGCATGGTGTCGGGTGTGTGTGGGG